TTGCAGCAACATCAGTCAATGCCGCTCGTCACTGTCGAATGTCGTTGTATGGCAGTTTTCATCGCCGTGAAATATTGCCGCGATGCGCAGACATATTGGTGGTCATACGCGCCCTTAACTTGCTATGACAGGCGCTATTCATAAATACAAGAGTTGTAGAAAGTTGTAGAAAGCCGAGATTCAAAGGATGAAAACTAGATGAAAAATCATAGGACGTGAAGACCCAAGTGTTATTTAGAAACTAAAGGACATGTTAAGATCTATAGAATACGTAGATCTGAGTATTTGCAGGAGAGGACAAGATGGAACAGCTAAGCGCCAAACATTCGAGAATCCGAATGGCCGCAAGTTTTAAGAGTCTAACACGCAAGGATCTAAAGTTAAGAATCTAGCTACTCCAACTGGCGTCCAACAGTCTGAAAGGATCTCGATTTTTTGGGCCGTAGGATCCAAGAAACTTTTCTACGTTTTGCAGACCCGGCTACCTACATCCTCAAAATTTATAACACTCCTTTACCGCACGCCCCGAATAACGCAACGGGTGGAAAAAAAAGAGGAACGAGGAAGACTACATCTCATCTTTCCGCTGCGCTTAGCATTTTTATCGCTCCTTTTCGCCGTGGAGGAATTTGCCGTATCCGGAAACGAGTTCGCCGCTCCCAGGTTGGCTATCGCGCAACAACCCACCTCTTCTGCTATATTCAAAAGATTCAGATTCTCCTCATTCCCTGGGCATCGATATGTCGGTGGGAATTCGTGCTCGGCTCTACTGTAGCCTTTGCACATCATAAACAATTTTACGTGCAGCGCTTGAGACTACAAGATGTGAATCGCGAAAGTTGCCGCATCCTAGAATCTGAGCATCTAATAATACAAAGCATGTCAAAATGAAAAGATTCCGTGTCTTCCACATTAATACAGACATTATATTATCTTATCGTTGTCTTTTAATAACATTCAGAAGATAAACGAGGACTTCTGTTACTTTACATAGAAAGTTCGTCGCTGAATTTTACTTTATACTTTTATCAGATTTATTTCCAAAGCGCGCACTCGCAATCCGGGATTTTTACGTGGCCTTTTTGAATAATCAGATTTTTAGACACACGCTTCTCCTCTTCTGCTCGAAGTGCCGCATTGTAATTGCGAAGTTACGAACACAGGAGAAGTCATTTTTTCTCATGCGACGTATATGACCCGCTGTGACTCGTCGAAAGCTGCAACTTTCCGCTCGGGCGAAATGGCCCGGATAATTTACGCGCGGACGTCGATATCTATGCGGCTTTCGCTTTCGAACTCGTCGATGAAACGCTGATTTACGCCCCGGGCAGATTCACGCTGACTGCGCGTTTCCGCCGCTACGAGAAACTTACCTTGTGCCGCGCATCCACAGTGAGTAGAGCGGCTCGGTATGGTCCAGGCGCACTGACTTGGAAGCTTGCGTCAGCTTCGTCCTACCGGTTAGTTTCCGGTTCCGCTTGCCGGCGCGCAAGATATTACGTCGGCGAAATGTCGAAAATATCAAATGCCCTCTCCCACCGTCTTCGTTCCTCGCGTCGAAAAACCCTCGTCACCGCCCGATCGTGGATAGTGGCAATTTCGATCCTTAATACTTGTGCTGCTGCTGCTGCTACAGTTACTACAGCTAGTTAGGCTACCTTTTCGCGATATTGCCATTTTTCGAAATATATGATTATTGCGTGCAGCGCATTCGATAAATCATACAAAACTCCACTTGCACACTACGCAAAAAGGAAATCCGTACTTTTGAGCAAAAATACATTTTCTATTAGAATAAAGAAGTAAGAGTTTTTCAAACGGGATGAGAGGAGACGCGCGAGTACCTCTGTCGTGGCTTCATGTACGTACATAAGAGAACTAGGGACTTGTAATATGAATGAACTCTAGCCTCATAAATGTGCCAAACTGAAGGTCTCTTTCGAAATTTTACTTTATTCTCCCGATAAACGGGCTCCTGATAAACGCACTTCCACAGCAGTCAGAAATAAGGACAAAATTACTTGTGCGGGTTATCGATCTGATGCTCGAGATGCCCGGGTGTTCGATAAAATTTTATGTCCCAGTTCCTCTCAAGGAATTTAATTAACATAACAAATCGGAATACGCCAAGCGTAATTGCGTGAAATTTCAAATAATTGCGTGCTCCGATCAATTATTTACGACGGTGTAAACATTTGCATATGTAAACATCGAGAGCGCGCATTGTAAAGAAAACACAGTTTGTATAATATTTGGATATGAAGTAATTGAACTATATTATGCAATACGGAACCGCAGAAACATTGTACCGTGAAAAGTATTATCTTCATTTGTTAATGAAGCATGGAATATTCCCTTGTTGTTAATATGGAATCCAACAAAATGTAACTTGTTATTATGCGGCTCTGCTGTAATAAGTAGAATTAAAAAAGTACCAGCTTTTGTCTTTGATCAAAATATCAATGTTAATTCCATTGACGTGGAGAAAAATTAATGTTGCATAAAAAGAAATGAAATATTTTTAGTTCTTTATAGCCAATATTTTAATTATTACGTAACGATTAATGTAATGCCGGAATAATTTTAACGGTGCATTACATCATGCTGTATTAAAATGATCTATTATTAGTAACAAATTGTCGAAAATTCTTCAATAATTTCAGTAACTAGCAAGATTGTAATTTAATTTTGCTCATGAATTAATGTTTCAATACGGAATTTCAAAAATATTTAACGTATAACTGTTGGCGCGGAAATTTCGTTAGATTTCTAAGTAATTAGGACTGAACTCACGGCTACTTCACAGTATAATTACTGGTTATCAATCAACTAATGATAGCGCCCCGAGTATAGTTAATGTGTTCATAAATCAACGCTCTGCTACACTTACTTTAGCGGAGCCATTGCAAATTACATACTGAATCACGTATGTCACAAGGCTATTGCATTGTTTAACATGTTGCTAAGATTTTAAATAATTGCAGTATTTTTATTGCGACCTTTTACGTCTATATATTCAAAACCCCCTTTTTTTATTCGCAATTTCTTCTGGAGAAAATTTTTAAATTTTTACGCATTACAGCTTTAAATGTTTTAAAAATACCTTGATAATAAAATCTTAAAAGTTAGTCGCCAAAGCGTAACTCTGCTTAAAATTAATTAAAAAATAAAATTCATCTATTCACGCTTAATTAATTGAATTGTTTAAATTTACTATTAACATAAAATAAATAAAAGTAAAAATAAAAGTTAATCGCGAGAGAACTCTGCTTAAAATTAATAGAAAAATAAGAATCGTCTATTCACGTTTAATCGTTTAATTAATTGAATTGTTTAATTTATTATAAACGTAAAATAATTAAAAAAACATAATATTAGACGATTTTAGGTAACTTCTATCTCGACATCGAAGTAACTTCTTTTTATCTTGCATTAGCTTTGCCTGTAGCGTTTATTAGAGAAACACTTGACGCTCGATACTGTTATAATGTAGCGAAACAATAATTATGCATGCAAGGTACTTGGGCGGGTAAATTATTCCGCGAACTTGAAGCAATTTATAAAATAAATCTCTCTAGCTTCTCTCGTACTCTCTCAGACTTTCCTACACTATACCCGTGGCACTATTCGTTTCCCCGAGTACCCTTACACCCTAGAATTCAAAGAACTACAAAAAGGATTAAATTTAGCGAACGAATCTTCCGCTCCGACTGGCCAATTTCAATCACCCTCCCTCCCGTAAAAATCTTGGAAAGACGGACGGGAGGAAATTGCTCGTTCACGACAATGCGATCGCCGATCTTTGACGAAAGCGCGTGGCGGCATTATCGGCGACGGAATAACGCTGCTATTCGGTCCTACCGACTTTCCGACGGATACGTTCAAAGGAATCCGTGTCGACGGGCCTTTCGGCTTTGCTCGAGTCGCCAGCCCACGGACGAATCGGCCCAATTTCGCGACGCGAACGGGTATTATTCCACTTGGCGGGGCCCGCCACGGCGGCCAAATCGATTTTCGCTCGCGCCCTTTGATACCATGCCGGAAATTGATAGCTGTATCATTCTGAGCAACCGATTTCGCCAATTGACAAAGGAAACAATTTTTTTTACTCTTAATTAATGCATTATTTCATATATATTTTGTGCTATATATATTTTTGAAAAACCTGTATTTATTTGATTTTTTAATTCCTTCGCTGATAGATTATCTAAATTAGAATCCAGTGTCTGTCATGTAACTGTCTTTTTGTTAATGACACTTTGGATTCTTCTTTATTAAGTTTCAATACAAAGTGAGTATTTTGGAATTTAAAATGCAAAATATTAAACAGTAATGAGATGTAAAGATTGCTTTCCGTTACATTTGTGTTAGCAGCAAAAGGATTAACGATAAAAATCGATAACTGCACCGACGTATCTATACGATTTGACGTGAAATCTCAACGTAGTGTACTTCATTTGAAAGTCTGGCGAAGTTTGCAGCAACGCCATTTTGTCGTTTTCCCAGACACAGTTTGAAAAGCATTCCTAAGCCCTTTGAAGCAAAAAGACTATGCACTCGGTTCGCCGCTAACTCGAATTCACCGACTGCACATTCCTCTTGACCTAGGGGATGATTCCCTTTCCTCTCCACCTTAAAGCTCTCATCGATTTATTTGCCACATAATACCGCTTAATCCCTCGATTCCCTAACAAATAAATATTACAACGCGATTAAACGCACCGTAACTGAGCAACATGCGTTCATTCTCCTGATCGAGAATACGATTATGCTTTGTCAAACTTTAACAATGTGCATTAATTTATTCGGCATTAAAGTGGCACTTAAATTCTCTTGATATTTCGCTGCCAAGGATCGCGCGTTTATTGAATATTAATCAATTTTATTATTTCAGTATTGTAGCTACAAATTATTCAAACGCTTATGAAACGATACAGGGCGATTATGACTATTCGAATATGGTTAAAAGTGAATTGTATAATAAAATTCAGGAAAATGTAATATTTACAGGATATTTATTTTGTAAGTGGACAAAAAGTATTACAGTTTAAACATTTTATTTGGAGCTGTACCGTTACATTCAATGTTATATCTCTTTAACGAACTCCTTAATTACCGACAAGTACTTAACATTATCATCAATCACGCTCACCACTCGTCACACGTGTTATTTCTCGACGCGTATTATTGATTATGTGTCTTATGATTTACGATTTATCTCAACTCTTTACCGCATTATTATGGTACGTGTTTGTTGCAGTATCAATTTTTCAGTTTCTATAAAAATAACAACAACGATTCTTCATCAAACTGTACGATGGGCTATATTAAACATATCCGGTTTTTTTTTTACAAAAATCAAATAGATATCATTTATAGAAAATACTTGCAATATTTCATTTTCTGAAAAATGCATCTTTTTCACTCGATAAAACTTCTTTACACTTTTGTCGCTAAATTTTTATTTACTCATAATGTGGCAGAAAATTTTCACTGTCCATAATAAACGTATCGTATTGTTACGAAGATAATATTGATAATACGCTTGTGTACATTGCGCGATATGTGTCTTTGCAAATCTTTTCGCCAGAAAAGAGAATTAGGTCTTTAGATACACCACGTTGCTCATCGAAAATATATTCTTGTGATTGTAAGAGAAATTATGCGGTAAAGAGTTAACTTTACAATTCCGAATTGCTTTCATCCGATATCGCGCTGTGCGTGAGCACACTGTTGTTAAAGCTAAGATAAAAATAACTGTTATTGTTAATTGCTAAAGGGAAGTTCCATCGTTACGTCACGACAAGAAACATCGACACACCATTTTCTCAAAGCTTAGTTTAATTTTTACATTGTTCCTCTTAACAGTTAGCTGAAAGTAGAAGTACGTCTATCGCCTAATAATTGTCAGTTTCGATATGTTACCCACCGGATTTATTTACAATTTTTATGATATTTAAAAGTCATCGTTTTAGGCAAAAAGTATGAGAAATATTTCACAAGATTCCACGATTCAATTTTCGAAAAGAAACAATGTGGACAAGTTCAAATTAGCTCATTATGTTATTCATTTAAATAAGTTTCTTAATTACCCATTTAAGTAATTTGATGCCGAATCTTTTGCAACGGAGTAGATATTCAAAGCCAAAAATTCGCTAGCAATCACGTTAAACGAATAAAATCTGTCTCAAGTTTTATTTTGCGCAAGTTTACAAGGATACAAAAACTGTGAAAATAATTACGAGTGAATGTAAGATGTAGAGTTAGCCTTTCTTCTTCTTCAGAATACATAAACCGAACTTGTACTCTGTATGCTTTAAAACACAAGAGCGATAATAATTTTCAGAAGTTATTCAAAATAGGTATTCGGATATAAAAGAATGACCGTTTTGAATTATTTTGTATACAACGTAATTAAAAATTCTACCTTTACAAAGAGCAAATAGATTAAAGAGTTGCTGATGAAAAGCTAAGTGTAGATCAAAATATTTTCAAACCCAGTAAAACTTTGTTCTTCCGCGGACGTGCGAGTGCGTGCGTATTAATTATGAAATTATGCCCATTTCTAAACATGTGAAATGTAAACGTGAGATGCAATAAGTTTTAATCTCGATGTTAAAAGCGACACGCGAAATTTATCTGTGAAAAATTAATCCATTTCTATTGAAGCTACTCTCTTTGATCTTTTGACATTGCTGAAAGAAGCGAGCACACAAATAAATTAAATATTAAATTAAATAATGCTTTAGCGCAATAAAAACGACATACGGTTGATATTCTTCTTTCGCAGATGTATTTTGGTTACTTGGCGAGAATTGCGGTTTTGCTCGAAACACAAAAGATAAACAGATGCGAGTTTTACATCGATAATTCGTAAAGTTTCAATGGATTCTGAACATTGGAGGATTGTAAAGTTCAGAGTCCTGAAATTGAAGGATTATATTACAACAAGAATCATATTTTGGAATCTCTGGGATCTGGAATGGAAAGATTATGTGCAGTCATTAGATCGCTGCGGCATAGAATCTATCGATCTATTAGACTTTGAAGAATCCCCAGAATCCGCGAAATCTAGGCCCCAGAGATTCAGATAGCACACAAATTCCACAATCACTTCATCTACCATATTTCCGTATTATCCCGTTTACTCGTTATACGCTCTCGCTCTCGCTCTCTCTCTCGGTGTCCTGGCTCGCAACATCGCGAACGTTTCTCCAGCTTTCATCACTAAACAAACGAGCTCATCAATAAAACAACACCCCCCCGTTAAACGATCTGCAGCCGTTTAGCCGTCGTCACACCCACCAGGTTTGAGTTTAGTTTTGCAGGGCGATTAAATTATTCATGCAACACGGTGGACCCAAACGCGGAAGCCAAGGAGCCTTCCTACCCTTGGTGTTGGAAGTAGATCTTGTCCTTGCAATTGCACGTGGCACCGCAGAACTTCCGGCGTTCACGGCCCTCCTCGGTGTCCGTCTCGCAGACCCACGAGCTGAACGTTCTGACCAGCTCGGCGCAGTTCGACCACAGATCGGTGTGGTAACACGCGTTCGTGCAGAGCGCGTCCCGCGTGCAGTGATCCTTACACATGCTGCAGGGCTTTCCGGCTACGTAAGGTTGGCCTAGACGGATCTTGTAGTTCCCACTGCGAAGGCAAAAACATATCGGCCGTTAGACAATATCGATTTTAGAGACGATCGCAATAGCCCGAAGCGACAAGAAATATGAAAAACAAACCGAGACATTTCAAATATTTAAATATCGTTAGATCGAAACGCGTTTCGCATTCCAACTGCTTTGACACGAAAGAGAGAAAAAATTAAATTTCAACGCGCGACAAGAATATAAATTTAATATTGACTAATTTAGCATTCATTTCAATATTTGTAACGCGAGAGAATTTTTCTTCCTTTCCCTTTGCATCAAAATATTGTAGTTGGTTGAAATTTTACACGATGCCTTTTTATTACTCTTTGTTTCTAAATTATACATAGTTTTATGTTAGTGCTTTATTCAATTTATAAATACACACCGCGCTTGGATGTACATATATCCAGCACATATATGTGTTATATATATATGTATTATCATAAGTGTATGTCGCTTGAGCTAGACGAGGTAGGGAGAGTAAAGGATCACATCAAAAGGTGTCGTTCGGAGTGTATCTAAAGCCGACGCTTCTATTAAGCCCGAACTCGGCAAATTGGAGAAGAGTGAGTCCTTAAGGTGAGAAGATTGTAACACGCGCGCGTTTGCCTTGTAAAGATCAAAACAGTAATTATATACAGAGAGTTTGAACCAAGTTTGCCTTAGCGCTAAATTTCTCGGATTAAATTTCTTAATTCGTAGCAACAAGTATCCTCTTCTCGATAATCATGTTTCGAGATAAACTCAAAATAAAACTCTGTATTACTGCAATCACTCATTTTATAATTTATACACAATTAAAAAAACTATATGACATGTAGTTTTTCAAAAACGACCTACACTGGCCAATGTTTTTATTTAAAAAAAAAACAAACAAAAGATAAATAAGAATAAATAGGAGTAAATATGAAATAAATAAATAAATACGCTTACATATTGGTCCAAAAATGATTGCACTCCTTGGTTGAAGAGGGCAGAGTTAATTGAAGTTGCATTGTTAATTGTACGACACGAGTAAAAATATCTAGAGATGTGTGTTAGACCAGATGTCGGATCGAACTGACGAGTGACAAATATAGTTGTCATGCGACATGTGTTGGACGAATCTTATTTATCTTTATTCACTCTTGATATTTATTAATTCGTAACAACGTAAAGTGTAATGACTCTCTTGCTTGTACACAGCTTATTAACATAAAATGATATTGGTCAAATGAACGATATGAGATCAATAACAATTGCGTGAAAAGGTATAGATTTGCAATTTACTTTCGCTATAATTATTTGCGCTATATTTTTTAAAGAAATATTTAACGGTAAGTTAGGTACGTTTGCAGATTACTTGAAAAGGGTCCAAATCCGGGACCGAAACGTCGTTTGTTTTTTAAATAAAAACAGTGGCCAGTGTAGGTCGTTTTTGAAAAACTACATATCGTTGGTTTTATATTACTGGCGATATTAAATCTATTTGTGAGTTAAAAAACTATACCTAGTTAATGAATCTCTGTAGGGTGGTTTTAGTTACTGTGAAAATGCCTGCGACCGTTAACAATTGAAAATTTATAGACCCCTCGACATTAATATTAATCCCCGTCAGTTTCTTCTAAAATCCCAGTATTTGCGACTTGAGATAAATACCCGATATCTGAGATATTCTGCATAATAGTGTAAATACTTTAGACAGTATCCTAATCCAAATCCATTAGCCACGCGCATTAACGAAAAGCCGTGGAAGGACCGTCGAGCAATTTGCAAATGGGCCACCAAATTTACATTCAAAGTATTTTTCGGTGCGAATCGCGCGTCTTAAACGATCGCGCGAGAATTTCCGTCTCCAAAGGCCGCTATCCGGGCTGCTGTATATCCACGAAATTAATTACGAGATAGAGCCGGCGTGGAAGAACGGCAAGATAAAAGGAAGGATAAGATGGCCCACCACCACGTGACACGGTTTATTTATTCAGGACTCGGGCCACTGATGGCGGCCATGCAACCGCGCCGGCTTCGCTTTTCGTGCAAAATAGGTCAGGCGTCAAATACACTACTGGAGAATGTGCACTGCTTAACAAGAAGTACAGATCGACATATAAAACGGCATATGAAATGATCTTAAAAAGTCGCTTCGTGGAATTCCGTTTTATCTGAAACACTAGAGAGTTTTTCTAGTGAAAATTCATTTTAAATTTCCTAGTGAATTAACGCATACCAATTCAGCTAATTTTGAAGCTTATTACAAAGTGTGTACACTCGTATCAGGTATAATATATTCTGTAATTCTGAAAATGTAAAACACTTTATATTATCGTTTTCAACATGCGGATCTGAATTTAGTTTTATTTACCGAATTATTTTCTCTGCGACAGAAAAGTGAATACGACGACCGTAAATGCGTTTGCCTGTTAGTATCTCGCCTTATAACATGAATATATGAAGCTGCGGTGAACTCGTCGCCGATCGCATTAGAGCGGATCTCGCGGAAAATTTATCGGGTCTGCGTATTGCGGGGGATCGATATGAGGAATATATAGCGTCGCGATTTGTAGGAATCCTTAGTTCAGAATTGGGTCGCCGGCACCAATTTTTGTACGGACTGCAAGAGCGATAAATTGCAAGACCGAAGACCGGAGCGAATTCTAATTGCGTGAGTCGCTCGCGCGTGAAATGTCTCTGAGAAAATCATTTATTTATTGTCACTCACTTGGACAGTTTATCCGGAAATGCAAAGTTAGCAGAATGATTTTCTCTCTCTCTCCCTCCCACCTTTCCATATATAATCAATTCTGTAGAATCAATGTTGCACAAAATATTTATTATTTAATAAACGTTATTATTTGGCTTACAATTTCTAGAACAATATACAGGAATGTAAAAATCATTTAATTAAAACAAGCTATTCCAGCTACATCTTCCTGAATAGCGTTATTGTTTAGAGAATAAAGGTGTAAATAAAATATAGGAGAATTATACAAGTGATTTCCAATCGCTTAACAAGAAAAATAAAAGAGCGCAAAATTTTTCACCTTATTCCAATATAATCCCAATAGTATTGGCATTTATTTCAAATTAATTTTACGCTTGAAGCTTCTGAGGTTTTTACAAATTTCCTAATACTTTTTAATTCAATGTCGTTCAATATTATTAAGTTTTTTTTTCGGGATATCCATTGATAGGTTTTTTTCCCGACCAACTCGTACCTCTCTCTTTCTCTCACTTGTATTCCCCATTAAATACGAAATCCAACGAAACCGAGCAATAATTTTTTACGAGAGCTTGAAGCAGAAAGCTTGAAGGAAATTTTTATTCATATATCGTACGTCGTATGTCTTGCATTGAGCATCTTGCACACACCTACGCACACACTCACTGTATATGTATAATATATATTTATATATTTCATCCAGCAGTCGCGTACAACGAAAACCATAAGTATACTGAGAAAGTGTGCCATACTGGTGACAAAGAGAGCCGTCTAAGTGCCACAATGGGCATGACAAAGACGAACGAGCTATAACTTGCGCTGACGTTGCATATATTCCGCACCGGTGTCACCATTTTCCTTGTTTTCCTTGCTTACCTCGTTCCTCCTGTTCTCCCCCGAGCGGGTTATGTCGCTTACATACAGTGTATAAATATAGGATTTACATATTTCAGCGCGTCTAGGGAAAGCTTACGTGCCAGTCTCACGCGAGCTTGAATACTACATCGGCTATTTTTTGGTTTGCCAAAAAGTCTATAATCAAATTCATATACACGGAGTGCCCGAGGAAAAATCGCACCTTTGGCAAACGTATGGAAACAAAATATAGCTCCGAGTTATTAAGTTCGCGAAATTGCTGAAACATCGCGTCTCGTGAAAATTTGGAAAACTCAGGACTCTAATGTCATTGCATCCCGAGTGGTTAACATCGTTTTCTATTCAGGTGGCACTGACGACACGTTTTCTCGAGCAACATCCTTCTTAGCTGCTTATGCATCAGTATCTACAGCTGACTAGAAAAAGAGTTAGAGAAAAGACTTTTCCAATATCGAAGTAACAAATATCTTTCACCCCATAAATTCCATCATTACGTATTAATTTTTGATAATATATTGTTTTTTCATTCTTTTACAATCTTTGAAACTTGTCAATGTTTTATATCGTGCCTACAAATTTTTATTGATATAAATTTCTCGAGAGAGAAACCTTGAATATATTTACCCATGATACAAAACTAAAGTTCTTATTTAAGTGTGACTATCGCTGCTGGCGCAAAGAGCAAATTGTTTGCGAAATTTAATCGAGCTTCTTTCCTCTTTTCACTCATCCCTCTCTCTCTCTCTTTTCCTCTTATTTACCCTTCTTGCATTAATGATTAACAATCTGCTTTGACCTTCTCCCATTCAGCGTGCAGATGTCGATTTAACTAAGATCCGCTTTGACGATGCCGCGCACGTTACTTTCGCCAAGTTTACGGTTAACCGTTTCAATCCGCATTTCCCTCCAGCAAATTATTGCGTCAATTCCATGCTAATGAACTAAGTTCTAGCCGTGGCCCAATTGCAATTGCCGTTGCAGAAACAGCCGTGTATCATAACAGTCACGGCAAACGGCGTGCAACCCCGACGAAAATAATTACACCGCGTTACTACCCTATCGATATAATCTGTATTTGTGTAACGTTGTTACACGCGCATTCTATTGCGCTAATCCAGCGGAAAATAAAAATCTCTTGGACAATAAAGTAATATAACAATGCGCGAGAACCATAGTTTCCGATATTGCAAACACTTTTATGAAATATAAATGCGGACGATGCCGCGCGATACATGAGTAGTAATATAATTCATGTGAGACATCAAATCTCTCTCAAGATAAAAAGAAGAAAAGTGCCCGGAACATATATATGTATATCTGGAAATGCATTTTCTTTTTAGTTGAAGAATGCACTTGATATAAGAGTACGAAAGTTCTTTTGCATGAGACACAAGATGATGAAACCCAATCCGCTTAACTGAACTCGCTATTGAGATGGTTCTTCGATTGTTGAACATTATACCTACCTCGGAGCGTAGTTGCAAACGTACATATAGAAATCCTTGCCGAGCGGACCCTTGCCGCCGGTGCAATGGCTCACCCCGCACCCGACCAGATGTGTCGTCGCCCATACCACCTGCGTATAATGGCCGATCTCGAGGACCTCATTCGTCGTGTTGGGCCCGTACTTGAAGTCCTTGTACTCCATGTACCACATTCTGATGGGGAAGTTCCTGCAACATTCCGACGAATGATTCGGGGGTAGCGATCTCGATTTGTGGTGGCGAATTGTCGTGGCGAATTGTCCGCGTGCAACGTGAAGCATCCGCGTCCGGTAATGTTTGTGAAGGTCTGCCTGGCGAAATCTACGTTATACAGTCCACCGTGGTCTGTTTGTCCGCGTAATCCAATTCTAGTTTTGTTGACTGAAGAATTAATTACGATTAGCAATTTTTCAACTGCGCAAAGCTAAATTTTCCGATGGCACGAAACGTGATCAGAGCTCTTTTTGAAATCATCTCCGCTGCATATCGAAGTTTCGCAATTAAAATAGAATTCGAGATCTCGTCGCATCCAACGGCAAGATTAATAATCATCCCGGGTGGTATCTTCTCGAGAAGTTACCTTTGATATGTAAATAATGAAGCCGGTGTCGGGATAATTAACGGTGCATCCATGGCAGATGGACCGCCGCACATTTTCACGGGATAAAGTCTAGCGCGCGTGCATGGAGTACATCTGTACAAATAAACCGACTGCAACGCGAACTCGCTAACTAGAAGTAAACAAGATTTAATAATATCTCACCAGAGTGTACGACCCGTGCTGATGAATATATTTTGTCCACTCTGCCCAAAGCCGTCCAGGTACAGGCCGGTTGCATTGTCGTGCACTAAACCGAGGCAGCGATCAGCCCACCTCTGCGCTGCCTTCGCTAAACCCGAATGCCATTTCTAAAACAAAGATATCCGGAATTGTCAGACACGCTTTACAGTAGACGGGTCATCTTGGAAATGCCGTCGCTAATTGCAAACTACGAACATTACGAACAAATATTGCTGAAAGGGGAAAAGTATTTTTACATTGAGAAACGTTAATAATTTTTCAAATTATACACTAGCGAAATTCAATTTCTTTTACGAATTAAGAGACTTTAGAGAACCAAATTGACAACCAAATTCCAGACAATTAAATTAGACGATTCTTACAACTCGAGTAATTAGATACAAGTGAATTTAAGGCTGAGTGTTAACAAATTGATGGAAAATGCGCGTAAGTTATTTTTGATTAAAGAGAAGATGACTGCAAATTGATCAAGGGTCTGGTAATTGAAGGGCTCAGTGCCCTTCTTTATTATACTTAGAAAAAGCTTAAAGTTTAATTAAATACGTAAAATACAACCATGTTTACGAGCACAAAAAGTTATCTCGCGTTTGCGTGCATACGTAAACTCGCGGTAAAAGTTTCTTGACTTTTCTGTGGCTTCTTAATTGCTCGTTATATGCAAATATCGTGCTTTCAAAGCTATAATGTTCGCTCCGTGGAGGCGAATCCGGCGTTCTCAGAAGTTTCTTAAAGGAAGATGCTGCGCTTTCTATTTTTTTTTTTCATTATTTCTCATATTTCCCTTTATTTCCTCACATTTCTCAAGCTCGATACTAAATTAATTACGCGTTAATTTTCCGTGATGAACCGGCTTTAATAGTCGCAACGACTGCGACTATACACTTGACGTAAAAAGAAGTTGCCCACGATGTTCCGATATTACATTCTACGCGCCTACGTTAAGCTGAAGGAAGTCAGAACCTAAGTCCTAGAGCAAAGTTCCTTAATCAGAGGCGCTTCTTGATTTATGTATCTCGAGGCGACTGTTTTCTTGCTTATATAAAGTTGACTCTGAATTCTAAGTACCAGGTGCAATATCCTGTAGCACACAATATGCTTTGAAATTGCATTTTTAATTATTGTTTACCACGTAAAAGTTTGTAGAATATTTCGGTATATTACCGTTACATTTCGTAGATCAACGTTTACGTATGTATTTATTATTATCAGCTCTTTTTTTCTTTCTTTCTCCCTCTCTCTCTCTCTCTCTCTCTCTCTCTCTCTCTCTCTCATAATTGATATGCAATAAAATTCGGTAATATCTCATGGATAAGAACACTTGTGGAAGAAATTTTTTTCCTAGACAATGTACGAGTGACAATTCTCTGCTACGAATTCACATTGAAAACTCATAAACATATAAAAATCAATTCGTCATGATTTCTTTTACTAAATTGTAATAGCGGTATCATTGTAAATATCGATATCATTGGTAATCTGTCGGGTGAAAGACATAATATCTCGTGTTGGTCCCATCCGCGATATTGCCAAGCTTCGACACGTCTCTACTGAATCGATAGGATTCCCGATACCGGTCATTCTCTCCTCGAGAAACTGCATCGCGCCTCGAGTTTTGCCGAGAAACCTCAGATAACAGTCGCATCTACGGCGTAACTCCCGCCGAAAGTAGCTTTTACGGTGACGTCGCTGGTAGTTTCCGTGGGAAAAGAATTTAAGTGGGAAGTCGTGTAACTTATAACCAAGCTTGAGATTGGCGGCGCGAAGGAAACGACGAGTAAACGCGGCGAGGAGACCCAGGGATGGTCTGACCACGCAGACACCTGGCCGCATCCACAAATATACCGGATTTTCCGAGAAGATATTTTACCAGGTGCGCGAGAGCTAACTTCAAACATCCGCAAACTTGTACAATTATAACGAAAAAAAGTTAGTTGTCAAATAAATTAATTTGTCAATATTATAATTGCAATTATATAATTGCAATATATCGTCGCTACTAACATAAGTTGCTAAAAGTCAGCAAATTGCAACAGCAGTTATGCGATTTCTATTCCGACTTTTCTTCCGCGTGTATTCCTTACGCTATTCTCACGTATGCTTCGTTTTCTAAGAAAAGGCGATTGAATTAATCTACATTTCGATTTGTTTGGGTTAAACTGCTAACCGCAGTGGATATCGCCTTTCCTTCTGAAATACCTCCTACGCTATATCGCCGTGAGAAACAACGGGAAGTGAGTGATATATAGTACACATATATGTTTATATATAGATCGGATAATAACGTCGATACAGGCGGAAATTGAAATCTTGCACCGTACTCGACGGTGAACCTCGAAAATTCAGTTTTCTGATCAAGTAAACCGCTTCGTAAGGTAAATCTCTGATGAAACTCGCTATTTTGTATGCACAGCGCGTTTAACATTTTAATATCTTCCATGAGCAATGGAAATGTATCCGTAAGAATGAATTTATAGTCACGTGTAGATAAAACATTATATTGGGTTCGTGTGCGTAAATAATTTGTAAAGTATAAAAGATCTGCATATAAAAGGACGTAAAAGTATGTCGAAGTTAAACATTTTTTTTAAATAATTGTTCACAATTTAATTAAGTATAGTTTTGTTCGTTTTTCATAATTATTCCAAATTTACACGTATATGTATATTGCATTCGTAATTGAAATTACATAATTGAATTTACAGTTAAATAACCTGTTATCGTTATTTAATTATCCATTATTTCTGAAACATCAGAGCGCATCTTATTATCATGCTTTATTATCCAAATAGAAGAAAGGCACGTGTTGGAAATAATAATTGTTATAGGATTTACATTCAGCAATTCTGATAATTTTCCAGAGAAATACGGAAAATCGCGAAACGAGCGGATAACGAGCGCTTTCGCCGCTTAATTTTAATCAGTCCAATTAACGACGCGCGTTATCTACTGCGAAGTTGCCAAAAACTCAAATTAAATGCGCGTTGTGCACGAGAAAGTTGAATTGCGTTACTGCTGTATTTATTATGCTGCTTTTGTTGCTATTTCCAGAAGAGTGCCTCCTCATTCGTAACCGGTAATTATTTCTCCGAATGGTTTCCGAGTGTGAATTTTCGAAGAATAAACCGACCAAATCTGTGTTTTCTAATTTATTTCATAACATAATATTACTATACCTATAAATTCAGATTTTTGAACAATTATGATTTAAGCTTGTGAGCAGATTTTCTCGTAGAAATAAATTTGAATTGTTAGGTTCTTTTAAATTAAAATCAAAAGGATTAAATGTTTTGTATTGCTATATGTTTTTCACAGAAGCGATGTGCAATGAAAGCATAAAATAACAGTGCACTTCTAAATTTCGATAACAATTCAATAATAGGTCTTATCCCTCAAATATATAATAATATTTATTATAGAGAAAGAAAAAGAGAAAGAGACTGCAATATTTTATATTTGACCGCAAATTTATTTTTAACTGGTTTTTTTAGTTATACAGAATTTTTAACATATTAAAGTGCATCGCAATTAATTAAAGTCAAACGAAATAATTGAACGATACTCGTGTAATTCAACTCATACAGTCGAAAGGCTATTTCTATTTCTGTAAAGCGAGAGAGATACGCGAACCAAAGAGTTTGGGAAGATTCCATTTTGAAAAGTGTCAACGTATTGTTGAAGGTACAACGAAAGATGAGAATCTGGGAAAATCGATAGAATTTCAAAGCGAGCATCCCTGCTATTATTCGAACAGGCTGCGAAACCGCTCGTTCGCATTATTCACGAATTCTGTGCGAAAGAATTCTAGATCCAAGTGAAGCGAATATCCAAAAATCTAGGTTGAAACTTGAAATTTAATAATAATCTAGCTGCAACAAAATTATACTTAAGGTAGTTCTTTCG